TTTCAAAACACTTCCCTTCTTGATTATCTCTGACAATAGGCAGAGTCAAGTTTGAATAACTCTGTTCCTTCCTTCCATCCTCAGCTGACCTCCAGCTGCTGCTGCAAAATCCTTCAGAGTACAGTAAAGACACTGAAGGAGCAACAAATATTTCATAGCATTAATAAAGCAGGAAGAAGGTTAATTCTTCTTTAATGCTTAATAGATCCATATTTCAGGGAAGTGACACACACATGGCTTCCACTAAGAATTTATTTGTCATCTGCACCATTTCAGCATTAGCCCAGACAGACCCGACTACCCTGAAAACAATTTTACTTTCGCAGCTTCAGAGGTTGTGGAAGCAAAAGGCACAGGACCATTAGGACAATTAGGAAAGTACCAGAAAGCTATTGACAACTTTGCACCAGAAGACGATGAATATGGAGGAATGAGTCTTGATTGAGGCAGAAAAGCATTAGTCATAGCTGCTAAAGACACAGCATCAATGGATTTGTGATAAAGGCAAATCCAACAGTTGTTCAGACTAGCCAAGAATCACTACTGTGACAGATTGTGAAGTTGTTAATAGACCATCAAAGCCACCTGAAACCCTGGAGCTCTGCTGAAGTTGCCTTACCCCACCACGGCAGAACATGGACCAGGATAGGATTCCTGTAAGGCATAGTTTACATTCTGCTTCCCTCCACCCCCAAAGATAAGCTGTTGAACCAAAAAAGGTGTTACATCATCACTAGGTTATCTGCACTGATTTCAGCAGAGCTCCAGTACAGATACACTTCAGCAGCTCAGATTCCTCAGCCCTTGCTCTTAGAAAATGCTGCAAGGTCTCCTTACAATTAAAGCAGCACAAAGATACCTAAGACAACAGCAGTCAGCTAGAGCTAAAAAAAACCTCCACATGTCCACACAGTCTTCATCATATAGATGAAGTTTGCTTTAACTACTTGGAATTTAATTATGCTGCTGTGCAGCCTAGGATGAGGGGAGTAAAATGAATGATTGTTCATTGCTGTATTTATCAACTAAACAAGAAAAGATCTAGTTCCAAAGGCCAAAGCATGAAAGAAAAAAGGGATCATACAATGACTGGCAAGCTGCTCATTATCATGAAATATTCTTACCTCTTCAAGTTTGCCAAGCTTTTCAACAATCTCTGCTTTCAGTGCTGTGGTGTCCTGTCCATCTTTGGCTGCCAAAACACACTTGAAAACTATGGGTGTTATCTATACAAAGGAAAATATAAAATATTTAATTTTCCTCTTACAATAATACAAACAAGTAACTCAGAGCTTAAAATGTTAAGTTAGATGTTAAGGTATTAGATACAAGTCAAATCTTAAAACTTAACTCTTTAAAGTTAAATCTAAGTCCATTAATAAAAATGTTATACTTTAGAAAAGGTAAACATGTTTAAAAGAATTAATTGAAAAACTAATTCATTTTAGTCTTGTTGTAAGAGGAAAACAATTAAAAGAAGGACATTTGCCATCTGCATACACTACCAAAAAAAGTAACAAAAGAGTAGCAAGGTGCAGAGCAGTACTCTTTTCCCAGTTACACGTTTCTGAAATCCAAATACACTGATTACAAAAATTTAAGGTACTTTAACAGATATGCAAGCCAGAATATGCAGGCTTTTACATTCATTCAGTACTTCCTACATGATTACTCTGATTAAAATACAGCAATTTTCACTGCCAAGGTCTGAAGCATTCAGCTGGTTTGCTCCATTAACCATTGTTCTATTGTAGGATGCTCAAAATCCTGCCCTCAGCTGTATACACTTTCACTAGCTTGGCTGTCTTCCTGCACCCATCACTGCACATAAATGCTGGGAGCAACTGAGATGCACAGGGGGTTGTACCTACAGCAAGAGACCCCAGATAATCCCTCCAGTTATTTAAATGCTTTTCCCAGACACTGTCTTAAAGGATGAAAGCAGCACTAGCAACAGAACTGCAGTTTTTGGTGCAATGGTAAAGAAACACATTCCCACCCTTATCACACAGTACCTTTGAGAAGTGTTCCAAGAGCATCTTCTGAAGGGCCCGCTCATATGGATCCGAAGGCATCAACTTCTTCCCTGGAAACGCTTCATCCAAATATTCACAAGTGATTGGGGACTCATAGACCAGCTGGCCCTTGCTGGTCTCCAGAACAGGAACCAACCCAAAGGGGTTCTTCTCAAAGAACCAGTCAGGTTTGTTCTTCAGGTTGATGTTGATTACTTCATGGCTAAAAGTAAAAGAAACAAGACCTAAACAGGCTCAGTTCTGCTATGGTCCACTACATACTATGATGAAATCCAGTCATTACACCTCAACAGCTACAGAACTTGAGACGCTGAATCCTTGTTCTCCTGCTCTCCCTAGTCTTCTCTGAAGTCCTTTGCAAGACTAACCAGCTGGCACATAGAAATACTGCCAGGGGGCACTCCCCTTTGCTGGAGAAAACCAGCACCAACTTATAATGAGTTGTTTGTAAAACTAATGAAAGACACATGAACAGTCTAAAAGCACACAGAGGCAGGCAGCCCTTATGTTAAAAATATATATAATAAAAAATTCTTAGAATGGTTAGGTTGGAAGGAACCTTAAAGATCATTTAATTCCAACACCCCTACCCTAGGTAGTGACACCTCCCACTAGACCAGGTTGCTCCAGGCCCCATCCCACCTGGCTGTGAACACAACTTCCCTAAGCAACCTGTTCCAGTGTCTCACTACCCTCACAGTAAATGGTATCTTCCTAATACCCAATCTAAATCTGCACTTTTTCAGTTAAAAAAAATGTTACTTCTTGTCCCACCACCACATGCCCTTGTGAAAAGTCCTTCCCTAACCTTCTTGTAGGTTTTCTTCAGGTACCGCAAGGCTGCTATAAGGAACCTGGTCAGAAAGGAGACTTTGAGCTTGACCTTTGAGTCAAGCTCAGAAGGCAGCACACTTATCAATGCAGATTCAGGGGAACTCTAAGAGAGATGTACTTGATTATAAACAAGTTACACTGTAATTAAGAAATACAGCTGAACTTTAACTTGACCTTACATCAAATTGCAAATAAAGAGTAGATCCTGCCTACTTATATTCTCTAACTATGTCCCCATATAAAACAGGTGTTTAGGGTAAAGGCAAACAGATGATTTTCAAAGGTACATAAGAAATACATCTCTTTTATAATATCATACTATAAGTTATATGCTGTGTTATATATGTGACCCCAGAAAATTCCTAGTAAGCCCAGAGGTCTTCTAAACACAACTGAACTTTGAAAACAACTGCAAGGTTACCAGAATGTAACCACCACCTTCAGGTAGCCATAAAACCCCTCCAAAATCACTATCCTAAGAAAAGCCTCCATGCTCCAAAATCAGCCAAAAAAAAAAATAATATATCAGACCAAAGACACTAAATAAAGAATTAAACAGACCTGAAAGATCTAACATATCCTTTCAAAAAAAGACCCAAGAAAAACCAAAACAGATTCGCTCAATTCTCATGTTGCTATTACAAGAACCAGCCAACTCCCAGCCCAGTGCTGGTTCACAAACAATTGTCAGGCCTCAGACTCGGTGGAAATAAAAAAAAGAGGTGGAATAACCCATTACTTTGAAGCTGTAAACTGAGGAAAGCATTAGTCCCCATTTAAAAACACTGCAATGACATGGGATCTTGAAAAAAAGCAAGCAAACAAAACAAACCACAAGTACTGAATTCCATTAACTTACTAAAGTAGAAAACAGAGAAGACTTTAGAGGAACACAGCATATTCTCTCTTTTAAAAAGGCTACTCACTGTTGTGCTTTGCTACGAAGTAATGTAAGAGAAACACTGAATATTCACATCTCCTGTAATTCTCCCTGCAGCTTCCATCAAAACAACACAAACTAAGGCTCTACTCACATTTACCCAGGACAAGCAGCCCTAACACTGTTTAATGCAAACAATCAGGATGACAGCTGAGGAAAAAAAATCACTTGGGCTTCCTACTGATAAACTTTGGGCCTTCACACAATGGGTTTCACACACGGCCTACCTATTTCCTACCTATTTCCCATTTCAGCAACACTCCTCCCTAAAAAAAAAAAAAAAAAAGTCTTCAGAAATTCAAGTTTTATAACGAAATCGACCACAGACACGTAATTTAACATCCCTGAAAGAACTGAACGAAAACAGGAGCCACGCGGGATGCTCAGAGGGGAAGGGACGCCCGAGCGGCAGGGGAAGGGACTCACCTGACGCCCTTGGCGCGGAGGACGAGGCGCGTCCTCTGGGCGAAGGGGCAGAAGCGCATGCTGTACAGCCGGATCAGCCCCTCGGGCACCGGCCCCGGGGCCGCGCTGCCTGCCGAGAGAGAACAGAACCATCCCGCTCCTTGCAGCCGCCACTCGCCTCACGCACAGCAGCCCCGCTCGCCCTCAGCA